TGTGTGTGTGTGTGTGTGTGTGTGTGTGTGGATTGAAAATACCATGATTTGGGTCAGGCTCACTTTAATCCTCAAGGTGACATCTTTGCTTTTTAATACTTCAAAGAATTCTACTGCAACAAATTTGTCCAATGTAATTTGTCATTTGATTTCTTTACTGCTGCTTCCATGGGTGCTAACTATGGATCTAAGTAAAATGAAATTCTTGACAACTTCAATCTTTTCTGCATTTATCATGATGTTGATTCCTGGTCCAGTTGTGAAGATTTTTGTTTTCTGTTGGTTGGCTGGTTGGTATGTGCCATTGAGTCGAACCCGACTCATAGCAACCCCTCCTTGGGTTTCCGAGGCAGTATCACCACAGAAATAGATTGTCCCATCTTCCTTCTGAGGAGTGGCTGGTGGGTTTGAACCACCAGCCTTCTGGTTAGCAGTCAGGTGCCTTAGGTGTAATTCATACTGAAGGCTATAGTCTTTGATCTTCATCAGTCAAGTGCTTCAAGTTTTCTTCATTCATAGCAAGCAAGGTTGTATCTCTGGCATATTGCAAGTTGTTAAAAGAATCCTTTTCTGATCCTGGTGCTGTTTTTCTTCATATAGTGCAGGTTCTCAATTATTGGTTCAGCATACATACTGAATAAGTATGGTTAAAGGATATTGTATGAGGTTAAAATCAGAGGCACTTGGTGTATGTAAATAGAGCAGCCTGGAAGCGGACCCTTACTTCCATTTTAAAGTCTTGACATGGGTCTAGGATCCATGTTGAATTTTAAAGCTGCCTTGTCTATAGCAATTCCTCTAAACTTGATGCTGACCTAATCTTGATGGTGACCATATTCCTGAAAAGAGACATTTTCTCTGAGGTCTGGCAGGAGCAGGATACATAATCTATCACCAGAGGGTCTTTCCACTATGTTCAAACAGATGCAAGATGTGATAGCTTAAACCCAAAGGGTCTCAATGCACAGTATTATTGGTAAATCTTTACAATGGACCCTTAGACACAGGTGTGATTGAGAAAACAATTTTTATAGCAGGTCACCCAAAAAACCTATCTTGTCATTGTCCTGTGACCAACCTGTAATAAACTGCAGAACGTGTATGCTTACAATTGTGTACCCTTAACCAATCATGTAATCCCACATTATTATCCACCTATCCCTGCTAAATCTCCACTTTTAGATATCCTGACTTTGACTCTCAATTTTCTTGTAGCCAATTATGATTGTGTAACTTTTAGTTCCTGCTCTAACTGTACAAAAATGTTTTCTTCTTCATTGTCTGGTAGAAGAGCCATCTTCACTCTGTCAATTTGGACGTCTTTCCAGTCCAGATTGTCTCTACCCCTCAATAAACCTCTTTTAAGCAGACTTTGTATTGTGGCTCTATGATAGCACAACTCTGACACACATCTTTCCTGATTTTAAACCACAGTCTCCCCTTGTGCTGTTCAAACAACTGTCTCTTGGTCTATATACAGGTTCTACATGAGCACAATTAACCATTCTGAAATTCCCATTCTTTGTAATATCATCAATAATTTGTTATGGTCCCTATTGTTACATGCTTTGGCATAGACAATAAAATAAAGGTTAGCATCTGTCTGATATTTTCTGCTTTCAGCCAAGATCTCTCTGATATCAGCAATGATATCCCTCATTCCACGTCCTCTTGTGAAACCTGCTTGAATTTCTGGCAGTTTTCTGTTGATGTGTTGCTGCAACCATATTTTGAATTACTATGGAATTAACAATTCCTATTTTTAGCCAGACATGTAATTCCAAGCCTTGGTTAGAAGTAGGTATGGCTACATTAACTAGTCCTAGTTTATAGCATGTTAGCAGAGTGGTGTGGGCAACTTCTAATAAGCCCTTAAAGAGAGGTGGGATATGCATTTTTCCTTTCCCATTCCCCCTGCTGGCTACCTGGAATGCAGACATTATATCCATAACAGCCATCTTGGGTAAAGAAGGAACAATGAGATAAAAGCAACCCATGTCCCCAATGATCATGAAGCTGCCTCTATTTATATGAGAGAAAAACATTCTATCTTCCTAAGCCAATATATTTTTTTGGTTTTCAGTCACTTGCAATGAAAACAAATTCTGAAGGATACAGAACTAAGGAAAGTCAAAGCAGAAATGGAAACGTTTTGTCTGATTAGTGGTGAGATATAAACCTGTAAGATCCAGCACAGATTTATAAAGAGCTGGAATACTACTAGGAAACAGTATGGACTGATTTTATTTTGGTGCAGACATAATAATATAGAGATTGAGACTCAGGGATGCTAAACCAAAAAGCCCTTCAGCAGTCAGTCTTCAAGTTCTGAAAGGGAATATACTCTCAGTCTCAGGAAATTAAAGCTCCATACCTTAAAGTCATAACACTATAATGAGAAACAACAGGTCAGAAAGGGCAGCTGCATGAAGATGCTCTAACTTTAACATTCAGTAACTCTCTACTGGAGTCCCTCAGTGGTGCGAACAGTTAATATCCTTTAGCTGCTAACCAAAAGGTTGGACGTCTGGGTCCACTCAGAGATACCTCAGAAGAAAGACTTGGTAATCTAATTCCAAAAAATTAGCCACGGATAACCCTGTGAAGCATAGTTCTAGACTGACATACACAGGGTTGTCATGAGTTGGAATTTACTTGACAGAAATTGGCTTAACTCTTAGAAATCTAGAGAACAATTATCCAGGCTTCTCCCTCTCAGCTGTAGGTCTAAGATACACCTCCTCACCAGGGAATGACACTACAGTGATTTCAGTAAAGGAAGATTCATTTCTTGGCAGAGGAGGGAAAGCCTAAAGGCTAGTGACCCAGCGAGGCAAAAATAGTCTTCAAGGTTCCCTTAAGGTTGCTAGCCTTAATTATTCCAGGACAGAGGTATGTAAGTGGTTATTTAAAGATGCTCTGTTCAGGCAGATAGATTTTTGCCATTTTCTAGAATTTCCCTGGTGCAATAAATTTTGAGCTAAGTTACAACTTTAACTTAATTGGTCCTTGGGTGGCGCAAATGATTAAGCATTAAGACTACTAGCCAACAGGTTGATGGTTTGAACCCACTCAGAGGTATCTCAGAACACAGGTCTGGCAATCTGTTTCTGAAAGGTCACAGCCTTGAAAACAGTCCAGAGCAATTTTACCCTGCACATGTGGAATCACCATGAGTTGGAGTAGACTCGAAGGCAGCAACAATGATGGTTCACTTTAAGAATGCAACAGTTAATGTGTTCGACTAACCAAAAGACTGGAGCTTTGAGTCCACCACGAAGTGTCTCAGAAGAAATACCTGGAGATCTATTTCCTCCTTAATTGCCTCATATGAGAACTACATTTTCCTCCTGTAAAACTTTGTTTATTCTTCATCTGACTAGAATCTCTCATCTTTGCCTACTCAAATCCTACTTATTCTTAATGCTTCAGCCTGAATCTGCCACAAAATGGGAGAAATCATTGCAACACATATATGAGAAAATGAATACAGATCCAAAATATGTACAGAATTCCTCCAAATCAATAATAATAAAAAAAAAATGGACAACTCTATAAAAGGTAGGCAAAAAACTAGGTCAGGTATTTCATAGAAAAAAAAATCTAAATGACTAATACACATAAGAAAAGGCACTCAACTTCAAAAGTAACCAAGGAATAGTAGCAATAACAACAACAACAAATGGTATGCAGAAAACAATATGGAACATAAAGATCTCTGGTCTTTATGGAACATGTCTGTTTTGTCCACCAATACATCCCAAGCACCTAACAACAGTATCTACACCTCCCAGGGTAATTGTGAGGATAAAATGTAATTACCATATGTAAAGGAAATTAGTGCAGTGGCATGGCACTGGTAAAAAGTAAGTATGAACTATTTTAAATATTAATAAAAATAACTAGATACTATTGAATATACCAGGAGCTCTGGTAGCCTAGTGCCTAAGGCACTTGACTGCTAACCAGAAGGCTGGTGGTTCAAAGCCAGCAGCCACTCCTCCGAAGGAAGGTTGGGTAATCTACTTCCATAGTGATACTGCCTCGGAAACCCAAGGAGGGGTCACTATGAGTCGGGTCCGACTTGACAGCACATAACAAC